TTGAACAAGTTTTAGATATGAATTATGCACTGAAAAGAGCTGGATTTACGGCTTTAGATTATGAATAATTATTAAATTTAGTTATCTAATTATAACATTTTTATTGAAATATTATAGATATATTTATTTTTCGATTAATAAAGACTTATGTTGAAGTTTCTACCGTTGGGCCAATCGTGGCAGAGGTCGGTCACTTTGAGAAAACCAATGCGGTTCATGACGAGGATGTAGTGGAATTGAGGCGGCTATGGAGTTGGGGTCAGGTAGCCTTTGTCTGCTTTGGATTTGTACAAGTGAAAAAAAGGAAGAGGAAGAGGGTAATCTTGGACATGGGCTTCATCGGATTTAGGTTTAAATGACCAAATTGAAGTTTTAGCAATAGAATAGAGGTTAAATTATAAATTAATTTATTATTAATAATGTCAAGTAAATATTTTATTATAAATTAATAACGTTAATAATTATAATATAAGTTTCAAATTCTAAAAATTAAAAAGTTTAATCTAAATATTAATAATCATTGGTACAATTTATCCGAAAATCAATCGGATGACTATATTTTATTTGTGACCGATTATTTAACATGACAATAATAAGCTGAAACTGAAATCAGAAGGGGTCTTCAGTAGTTGAGTTTTGTCTTTTCCTTTTGTTTATCTTCTACGTAAAGAACAATCTCAAACATCCAACCATTCTCCGCCACGTGGATTCCAATATTTTCTTCAACCAACTTTTGTTTTTTTTTTATATCATATAATATCCCTTCTCCACAATACATGGCGGTAAATCATTTGAAGCCTAATGAAGTCACGCCCTTCTTTTGGGTTATACCTTCCGTGAATCAAGAACCTCGGTTCACACTTTGTGTTGTTGTCTCCGGTCAGGAATTGGAAACTGAAAAGGAACTTTTTCCGGTAAATTAGAAGAAAGCAGGAAGGCTCAGAGCTGACAACGGTGCGGGAAAGAATGGACAAGGTGAACTGACGGTCCTTCGGCGGCAATACGTGGCCGATGTTGCCGTGATGGATGCCAACGTGGCAGGTGTATCAAAAAGTTTAGAAACGAAAACGAAAGGAAAATTACTTTATTTGTCGCGAGAATATTACGACAAGTTAAGGTTTTATAGGACCGCAAAGTTGGGGAACTTTATAGCAAAAAAAAAAAATGAAGATATACATTAAGTAAAATCTTCATAAATTAACAATATCGAGATCACGTTATTTTATTAATTTAAAGAAATATTAATTAATTGATTAATTTATAATTTATGAATTTATGAATTTAAAAAAACATTTTTCTATTCAACAAACTTACATTATTCTTCATGAATAAAACATTTAGATTTATTGACTAATTAAATTATGTTTATATACAATATGATTAATTAAATATAATTCATACTCCTAAAAAATAAAATTCATTGTAGTACGTAATATTAGTTAAAACTTTATGCAAGTTCATATATGGTAAGGAAACCAACCACTATATAAATAACATCAAGCATTCCTAATTAGTTAATCTAAATCAAAACCAATCAATCATAGCTTCACATCTAAACGGTGTCCAAAAATCAACCATGACACATCAAATACATAAATCACTAAGTGAGTATAAGAGAGATCACCCCACATGCACTCAAAAAGATTTGTAATAGTGGATTGATGAACATTTTCATCTGAAAGCTAGTTTAGGTTCAATATCAAACACACTCAAGCGATTATTTGAGTATCTTTCGGCTAACTTAGAAAAAAAATGGATATCAAGCGACACAAAAATGCAAAATATCCAGAAATGAAGAATGTTCTTTACGAGTGGTTTTTCCGATACCAAGAATGTGTAAACATGTCTAGAGAACTAATTTTGGAGAAAGTAAGAGAGACGATAAAACTTCTATACCCTCAACAACCTCCTAAGTTGCACAAATTTTCTGAAGGTTGACTTGAGAAGTTTAAGCTAATATATAGTATCAAGTCATTTCTTTGTTTTGGAGATATTGGTTCTGTTAACATAGAGGACATGTAGAACAAATTGGTGGCTATAAGGAGAAAAATAAACCAATATCCTATGAACAATGTTTTTAATATGGATGAAATTGATTTATTTTACAGGTTGCAAATTGATCACTCTCTTGCAACAGAACAACTTGAAGGAAGAAAACAAAACAATGAAAGACTTACAATTGTTATTTGTTTCAATGAGGATGGCTTTGAAAAATGTTCTTTATGGGTTATTGGAAAGTACGTAAAGTCACGTTGCTTCAAAAATGTTAACATGAACAACTTGAATTGTCAATATCGTTCCAACACAATAGCATGAATAACTAGTGTTCTTTTTGATGAATATGTTCATTTGGCATACCAAAATATACGTGGTAGACGGATTTTATTGGTGGTAGATAATTATCCAGCCCATAGAAAAAATATTAAGGGCTACATAATGTTGAGTTGTTTTTTTTTGTCACCTAACATGACATAAAAAATCCCAACATGTGATGCAGAGGTAATAAGAACTTTCAATATGCACTAGCACATGAGATTTTATCGTAGGGTATCAAAGAGCTATGAGTTGGGAGAATCTGATCCAAAAAAGATTAATGTTTTATACGTCATCAATCTTACAGTCTCAACTTGGATGATAAATGTTCAGCAAGAGACAATAGCAAATTATTTTCAACAATGTAAATCGCAGGATAAAGTAGTCAAAATGAATTTAAATAAAGATGAAGAAGACATTCATGAGCTTGATACAATGATTAATGGCCTTGGATAGCACAACAAAATGAATGTAAATCACCTATTGGATTACTCGAGTGAAAATGATACATGTTTATAGGTCTAAAGTTTAGAAGAAATTGTAGCTAGTGTTATTGAAAATCTTATTGAGGATGAAACTGAAGATGATACAATGCGTTTGTAACTAACAACGGAGAATGAAGCACTCATAGTGGCAACAACTCTTCACAATATTTTGTTGCAATATGAGAACACAACACAAAACTTTTGGATGCAGTAAGGAAAGTTAGAGATGAAACACAACTAAATTTAAATTTTAAGAAGCAAACAACAATAGTATCATATTTTACTAAGTTGTACTAATTATATTTGTAATTTTATAGAATTATTAATTTATAATATTGAAGTGACCATAATCTATACAAGAGTATTTCAAAACTTATTATCTTATTAATTTATTAAAATAATTAAATTATCAAAAATTATTAATTTATAGAAGTTATATTGCTAATTTAATCTTAGGATTAGTCAGTCACAAGAGTTCAAGGTTTTAATTATATATTTATTTCTTTTATAATTTATAAATACAAAAAATTAATGAATTAATTAAGACATAAAATATTATATATAATGTAACATAGGTTGTTTTTATCTTTATTCCCCCCAATAGGGATGGCAAACGGGTACAGTTTCGTGGATTCCGCACCGCATTCGCTCCAATTGGGGCGGGGATGGGTATAATTTTAGCGGGTAGTGGGCGGGTGTGGATTTAGAAAGTGGTACCCGACGCGGGTGGTGGGCGGGTAATGGGTTTAAGACATTACTCGCCCCGCATCCGCCGGCCCAGCTAAATATCCATTAAATTTTGGACTATTATAAATTTAGGTGTAATTTTAGAGACTAATTTATAAATTCTAATATTGTATAAGATATAACATGTAATTTATCCAACTCTCCAACAAATAACAAAGGATATTTTGGGCATTCCTGTCTCCATTGTCCCATCAAAATCTGCATTCAGTATAGGTGGAAGAGTAATTGGTCCTTATCGTAGTCGACTACTTCTGGAGACGATTGAAGCATTAATGTATACTCAAAATTGGTTGGCCGATATTAAAGATAATATTATTATTTAGTTTATATTAGTTGTCAAATTGTGCTTAATTATCTTATTAAAGTTTAGTTACTAACTTATATTAGTTTTACTTTCTATTATATATGTAGGTAGTAGTGAATTTAAATTGGAGCGCTCTCAGTTGGAGGAAATAGAGAATGATGATTGTAATACTGGAGTATTATATGTCACAAATATTGCCTGAAATTTTAGAATGTTGTGCCAAAGAACAAAAAACATTATGTGTTTGTCATTTATGTTTCTAGACTTTAATTATGTCATTTATTATGGTGTTTTATGTATTTTAAGATCTATATTAACACTTAACTTAGATAATCCTTGGATTATTTTATTATGTTTCTTAATGGACATGTTTTTTTATGTTTGTTGCTTATGTATAACTTAAGTTTGCTGTCAGGCGGGTCTAAACGGGTACGTCGCTAGTGGGTAGTGGGTGTGGGGATGGATTTGAGAATGTACCCGCGTGGGCGGGTGTGAATTTGAAAATTTGTACCCATCATAGGTGGTGGGCGGGTGGTGAATTGAAAAATATTAGGGAAGTATAGGGATGGGGGAGGGGGTATCCGCACCCGACCCGCCCGTTTGCCATCCCTACCCCCAATGAAAAATAAATAGCATATTAAAGAAAATATTATAGTTAGTGCATACGTGTAAGTTTATACAATGAATAAGAAGGGAAAATTAACAGAAACGTTTCACAGTGGTTCTCCTCCAAAAGAAAGATAAAACATAAGAAACTTTAATCATAAATAATAAGCATTAAAATTTGTTAATATATAAAAAACTATAATTAATCTAATTATGCAAATTTAACACCTTAATTTAACTTTTTACGAATTCAATCATATAAGTATAAAAATTTATAAAATAAAGATTTGATTTCTCTATAAAATGTAAGATTTTAAATATATACTATATTTGATGTGCTGTTATATACTATATTTTAATTACTTTTCATATGATAACTAAAATAAAAATAATGGGTAAAAGTAATCTGTGTAGGAAGACGATAGTACCTGGGGACAGCCATGAACCATGCGCAATCGAGCGGTCCTGCCCCTCTCCTTTTATATTCTGTTTTATCTCTCTATCTTTCACGTTCGTCTCTCTATTCTTTAATGCCTCTCCCTCTTCATATCTTCTTCTCCTTCTTCATCTCTTCATTCTAAATTCCCCAACACGAATAATTTAACTCCACAACAATAGTTTTTCCAGGTAAGCTTTTGAGTTTTCATGGAAAATCAACACTATATATGCATGGTTTAATTCTCTAGCGCTGTCGTCTCGTGTCAACTTCTTATACAAGTTTTACATCAGCCGCTTGTTTGTTTGGCTTTCATTTGCATATTCCAACACTTCATTGGAGATGGGGTTTCTTTCATTTCCCTGCTTGAGCAAAACCTAGTAGTGTCAGTGTGGGGAATGCTATGGAAATTCTCGACAAAGTGACAAAGTTGACAGTGTTCATTTTCACTTGCAATGAGACAAGGACCCTGCAAGTGCTTCATTCTTTTCTCTCTTTATAGTTATTATCTCTTACTCTTTGTAAGGCTTTGATCCGATCAAACATAACTTTTTCTCGTTTTGTTTGTTTTTTGAAACGAGGCGTGCTTAATTGTTATAGCTAGCTAGCTAGAGTCGTCGTCTACCTTGTTCTTTTTTCCCATTCTTCAACTTATTGTACGTCGTAGAGTAACAGATCAAATGTGTTTAATTTCTTTGATTAATTATTTACATATTCTTTGAAAGAAAAAAAGTAATTTTTTGTTTAGTAATTGTTATAAGTTTAGTGATGGAAACTCCGTCCTAGAAGCTATCATTTCCACAGTCACCCAACACTAGACAACATCATTAGCTCAAACCTCTACCTGTCACAACTGACCCTTCAATTTGTGTTTACAATATCATTTTCTTCAACCCTTTTTTTCCCCTTTTTCTTCTTTGTAAGTTTTTATTGGTTATGATTTAGAGATGATGAAGTTATAAAAGAGTGGTGAATTTGATGCAGCAACAACAGTTATGATGGAGTCAAGTGTCCCACCAGGATTCCGGTTCCACCCCACTGACGAAGAGCTTGTTGGCTATTATCTGAGGAAGAAGGTCGCTTCACAGAAGATCGATCTCGATGTTATTAGAGACATCGATCTCTACAGGATCGAACCCTGGGATCTTCAAGGTTCTTTTCCTTTTTCTTTTGGATTATGGTTTAACATTTGCACGAGAATCTAATAACCCTAGATTTGGATGCATGTTAACCCTAAACTTTATATATATATGATATTATGTGTGTTTATATATAAATATGAGCAGCTAGATGCCGGATCGGATACGAGGAGGAGAAAGAGTGGTATTTCTTCAGCCACAAGGATAAGAAGTATCCGACGGGGTCAAGGACCAACCGAGCAACCATGGCTGGTTTCTGGAAAGCAACGGGGAGAGACAAGGCGGTGTACAATAATACATCGAAGCTCATCGGTATGAGGAAGACTCTTGTTTTCTACAAAGGAAGAGCTCCCAATGGTCTGAAAACTGACTGGATCATGCATGAATACAGGCTTGAACCCGACAACGGACCTCCTCAGGCAAGCACATAAGATTTACTTCACTTTTTCCCCTTGATTATCAGTTTATCACTTTCTATATTGTCGTCCCTCTCTTTTTCAACACTTGCTATTGAATAAAGTGAGAAATGTATTAGTATTATCGTCACAGTCGTCCAACATATCTAACCTAATATTTCAAATCATAATTATACTTGCACATTATATCATTTGATCTTTTAAAAATATACTCCCTCTATCCCATATAAAATGTCCCTTTTGTATTTTAAAATTATTCCACTTAAATTGTCCTTTTAAAAAACCTACAACTTTTATTAAACACGGTTTCCTTTCTACTTTTTTTTTAGTTTCCCAACAAAATAAAGCTTAACTTTTCAAGGATAAAATTGGCATTTTATTTTTTTATAACACATCTCTTACATAAAGTATTTTCTTAAAACTACGTAAAAATATTAACAATGTACAATAAAAATGGACAGAGGGAGTATAATTTTTACATTATCAATAATATTGAATATAAATCCATATAGCTAAAGTTGAATATGCCCCACTATATAGAATTTATATGATGAAAGGAATCACTCCTTTTTGCTATCCATGGAAAGACCATTTATACTGATATGTCAACATAGACGTATAGAAAGAAGACTTCCACCAAAAAAAAGTCAAAAAAGTTATTAGTACTAATATCATGAGCTTTCAGTTTTCAATTTCATGTATCTTTTTAAATTTTGCAGGAGGAAGGATGGGTGGTTTGTCGAGCTTTTAAGAAAAGAACCACCGGTGGACAAGCCAAGAGCATTGGTGGCGGGTGGGACTCGATCTACTTCTACGACGAACCAAGTGGTGTCAGCTCGGTGGTTGATCCAATGGAATACATGTCGAGGCAACCCCCCATTTTTTTACCTTTGTGCAAGCAAGAGACGACAGAGGCAGATAATTTGAACAAATTTGTTTACTCTGATCAATTTATAGAGCTTCCTCAGCTAGAGAGCCCTTCTCTGCTATTAATGAATAAGCCAAGCTCGATATCTATCGTATCTGAGAATAATAATAATAATAACTATGAAGAAGAAGAAGGTCAGAAAAGAATGTGCAACAACAACAACATCAAGAAAGTGACTGATTGGAGAACCCTTGATAGGTTTGTTGCTTCACAACTGAGTCATGAAGATAGATATAACAACGGTGATCAACATGGAGCTGCCTCGATCTCAAGCTTTGATGCTAATAATTGTAGTAACTCGGACATGGCGTTGCTGTTGTTGCAAAGGAGTAGAGAAGAAGGGAACAACTTGAAGGAGTTACTGAGTTCGAGTTCAGATTGTGATGTTGGAATATGCATGTTAGATAAATGAAATGAGATGAAAAAGAAAAGAAGACGATAAAGAAAGTTTTTATCGCTTAGTATTAATTATAAATATTTGATGCATAACGAGACATATTTTTGTAAAAAAGAAAATTATGGTTGTGAAATGAGTGAAGAAACTCTCTCTAATGGAAACCAGTCATTGTACTCATCTTTAACTTGATTTTCTCGGCAACCAAACATAATATAAGACCAATGGAATCTCCGTTAAACAAAACATAGAATGAGAGGCTGGTCGGATTTGGGTGTGGTATTAGTGGGGCCATGGTTCGTCTAGAATGCGCTGGGCAACGTGGCTCCTGTCGGGGCATGCCTTAGAATTTATGTTTTCCTTTGACCATATGTTTCATGGCTAGCTAGCCTTTCCATCCCCATGTCCTCTTAGTGCCACACAGCAATAAAACCAGAACCCATAAACAAGAACAACTAATACATTAATTTTCTTAAAATAATCACTTCCTACATTATAATTAAGAGATAATTAAGTACCTTTTTCACTATAATCAGCAATTAATGTAACGGTTGACCAAAAACAAGGCAAACTTTTTCGAAGAACAATGATGCTTAATCATAGCACACTAATAAAGCAAAACCAGATCCCATGTTTGATGAACTTTTTACATACAAAAGATAAGGTAGAATGTCGATGAAGATCAGAATAAAGAGCATTTTAAGCTGTAACCAATCACAAACCTTGAAATTTCAACGTGAAAAATAAGATAAAAAGGGGTAAAATCTTTCCTCTTTTTCTTTTTCCTACTGAAATGACAGAACAGGTTCTGTACAATGATGTATGTATCGATAAAACTTTGTTTGAAACTTTGAAGGCTTGGCCAAAATAATAATCTTCACACATTCTTAGGAGTTGAACGCTATGGTGATCTCATTCACTTTTCATCATGTGAAATAGAGAAAGACATGGCTTGATCCCCGAGCTGGTCGTAAAAATCATGAAAGCAGATCAATATTAATCAAGTTTGTTGACGCACCATGTTTTTATGTAAAGAAACATTTCATATTAATGAAGTGGGAATGCTCAACAGGATTGCTGATGTATACCATTATCCAGGCGGAGCAATAATTAAATATTGACATCGGCCGAAATATTATACTACTTAAGAAAAATATAAAAATTTATTAGGTTTTTAAACTTAAAATTCAGCATAAACCAAGCGATCTTAGTAATTAAGGGATTACTATTATACTTGAAGTCTCGAGTTCAAGCACGTATGTAGGGGTATAAGAGTTCATTGTCAAATAGTTGAAAGTCTTTATACAAATATTACCTTGTATTCAGCTTAAATTTTAAAAAAATCAAAACTAAAAACTCAAAAGACAACTTCTAATTTGTCTAATATTTAAACTTACAATGACTTAAATTATAATTAGACAAAAATTTGAGAACAAAGACTTATCATTTTTTAATTCCACCCCTACTTGATTAAATATTTAATAAATTTTTATATTTTTAAATTTAAATATTTATTTTTACATGAACCAAAATATTATTAAACTAAAATTATGTTAAATATATAAATTTTACCATTAGCCACACTCCCTTAGCATAAGGGAGCTCCGTCTCTGTCATTATCACTCTTGTATTAAAGATTGCCCCACACACATTGGTTTGTCAACCCAATCATATATATATATATATATATATATATATATATATATATATGTATGATGTCCTTTGATTTGTTTTAATTTCTTTAACTCTCTTGGACAATGAATGAAAACTAAGTTGGAAAATAAATTTCTTATGTTGACATAAAATAATATTTTTATCAATTGATGTATCTTTTTCGTATTTTTTATGGAGTTTACATTATATAGTCATTTATTTATTTTATCAGACATTGAGATTTTCAGATTTTCTCGAAGTCTCTTGAGATTTATATTTTTTGATTTGTTATTATTTTTTTGGAGTTTCGTATTCACTAATCAATTATTATTCTCTTGACAAGATTTCAGATGGATTCATATAATCTATAGAACTAAATCTCTTGTCAAACGATCAATACATTCAATCTATTAATCTATGAGTAATTATTATTATTATCTTGGATCTAATATCAACATTAGAGAACATTATAAAATCCTCAACCAAGAAAAAGAGAAGGGACTACTTCCTAAACTCTTTTTATTACATTTTAGATCTGATTAACTAAATAATATTAGACCGTATGTAATTCTATCATTTCTTTTATCTATCATTGATCAAAAACCTATTAAATATAATTTTTCACTCAAATAAAAAGAAAATAAACCATCTAAAACTACCGCATCATGAATCAACAATTATGTAATCAACGCAAATAATACTAATTCAGCGAAATTATTCCTTTTCGGTGCACTTGTCCCATTAACCCATTTATGTACAAGTGAAAAATTGTGAAGAAACATTGCTGGAAAGAACACTATAAATCCCGAAGATGAACCGTTGTAGATCCTCTGTTTTCTTCTTTTTGTCATATTGAGCTTGCAGCAGCGGGCGCCTCCGAATATGTTCTCTCAGCATCTTCACCGGTAAGTTTCCGATTTCTCTGTACACTTTGCAAGCTCAAGAGCTGGATTCTGTTTAATCATATCTTAATTGTTGAATCAACATTGATTATTGTCAATGAATGAAGAGTCCAGCCGATGGAATCACCAATATTTCTCGGCGACCGGAAACAGTCGTTCCCATTTTAGAGAAGCTCAAAACCCTTAGAATTGTAGGCTTTATTCCTTAAACTTTTTTATAATACTTTCCACCCATAAAATTAAGAAATTTAAATGTTTTCCTATTCTTTCTTCATCCTTTTTTCTGGGCGAATTATTGACATCTCCTATACTGACGACACCGCCAACGGAGGGTACCTTAACAGACATTTTAGTGCGAAAACCGTCTTCATCTTCTGCTCAAGGTGAGCCTGATTCTTTTTAGAACTTTTTTATAAAGAAAATCCTCCGCATGACCTCTGGAAATAAGTGAAAAAGGGTTTTTGCTCTCTCAGTTGTTTTGGGAAATTTTGTGTGTTTGATTGCTTTATAGCCATATATTAGTGTTACTAGTGATAACCCTAGAAAATATAATATTAGAACAAAGATAGCAATCAAACCTTATGCAGCCACATTTACCTTTACTGTTTATTGCTTGTTCTACTGTTGTACGTATGCACAGTGAAGGCTGATATAAATTCAGATGTAACGTGGCTTTCAAGCATGAAATGAATGAATTCCCTGGGCTTCTATCTCTGTTAATTTCCATCTTTGAGTATTCTTAACAGATAAAGCCTTATTACTTGAAGTGAAACTGGTTTCAATTTAAATATTTTTCAATTCATTTTGGGAGCAAATAGGGATTGTGCTATTTTTTGCATAGCAGCTGCCTCCAACTCTATCCAAGAAGCGTTTAGCTAACATTAGGCACCTGCTATTTACTGTTTCAGTCAGTTAAATATAGGTTGCAATTGGAGAATTATGTGTGATGAATGTCATAGCTGGTAAGATCACAGTATATCCTACAGTCATCAAATATTTGTTATTTCATAAACTTTTACTTGGCTGAGTTGAGGTTTTCTCAAAATTGAAGCACGAAAGGCAGACATGAGCAAATAGAAACTGGTAAACCAGGTTACCCTATGGGAGTGGTATCCATCATACTAAAGCATTAGATTGTATGGAATTTGAACAAGATAGATTTCTGTTTAAATTCTGTAAGGGGAACCAATGCCAGTTTAATTCCCATTACATTAGCATGTCATTTTTCTCGAGTTTGAATGCATTAAATGATTTTATTCACTTGATTGTTTATGTCATTATGTGCTTGCTATGTTCAGAAATGAAGATGAACAAAACGATGATGCGCAGAATAAATAGTAATCACTGACTATGTACCTATGAAATATTGCAGTTGTCGTTCTTGTGGAGTATGAGGAGGTAGGGTGAGATTTGAAGAACTCTAGATTTATAGGAAATGCCCTTTTATAAATTGAAGTGAATATATTCTAATTTTGTTTTGTGATTGTTATAATTAAAGCTTACTGACATAGTCCTTCGGACAAATTCATTGCGGGCGACGATAGAAGACAATATTAGTTGCAGAAGCTTTAGCAATTAAACTCCAAAGCCTAAACTACTCGGTTTCCACAATGAAGATAATTTCACAACATTTATCATAAGGCAATCCAATCTTAAATTATAGTTTAGTACATATAGAACGTGGCTAAACATTATGTAGAATCTTGATTAACAAATTCAATTAATTATATCTTGTATAACTCAAGTAGTTCATACATTTCTATTGGAGCTTGGGGACTTAAAAGAATCCTCATATCAAGACAAACTTAATTGCAAAATCAAAGAAACAAATTAAACATCAAATAAATACCTTCTTAAACTCAACTGTATCATGCAAGTAGGAAATGCTCTAAATTAAGGCTGTTGTTGGGCATCCATGTAACCTGCATCAACCAACACTTTCTCTCTTTTAGCCAACTCAATATCTTCATCAACCATCATCTTCACCAATTGCTCGAACCCAACTTTGGGTTTCCACCCAAGAACCTTTCTTGCTTTACTTGAATCGCCTTTCAAATTATCCACCTCGGCTGGCCTAAAATACCTCTTATCAATCACCACATGGTCTTTCCAGTTCAGCTGAACATACCCAAACGCCACTTCTAAAAATTCCTCCACCGTGTGCGACTTCTCGGTCGCCACCACATAATCGTCTGGCTTCTCTTGTTGCAGCATCATCCACATAGCTTCCACGTAATCCCCGGCAAAACCCCAATCCCTCGAAGCTTGCAGATTCCCCAAAAACAACTTGCTTTGCAATCCAATCTTGATCCTGCCAACGGCCCGAGTAATTTTCCGGGTCACGAAATTCTCTCCTCTCCTCGGCGACTCGTGATTGAACAGAATCCCATTACAGGCGAAAATCCCGTACGCTTCCCTATAATTGACAGTGTACCAATGCGCCGCGCATTTCGAAGCCGCGTATGGAGATCTGGGGTGAAATGGGGAATCTTCAGATTGTGGCGGAGGAGTGGAACCAAACATTTCCGAAGAACCGGCTTGGTAATACCTGATATG